GGTACTTTGTTTCATATTTTTGTGGTTTAAAAAAAAATCATATGGTTCAGAATGGATTAACCTTATTTACATTGAACCTTATGGGAAAATTTGATGTTGGCGACCAAAATTGGTTGGCGACCACATTCGTAGGGGGCAGAACAAATTAAGTTCGTGAACCGAGGTACCACTGTACACTGAAGTGCAAGCAAAGCAACTCGCTTCAACCTATTAAAGCAGCTGCATGTTTTGCATGGCATAAAGGAAAGCGACTATGCCCAGAAAGTCATGAGGAGACAGTTGCGAGCAACTTCTGAACAGTTGTATGAGCCTTGCAAAAAATGTTGCTGCTTTAATAATCCAAAGAGAGGTGCTTTGTTTGCACTCCCCATGTTGTGAAGTATATGTTATAAATACATTTATCAATATATATAAAAGCAATTCAAATGATAGTTGAAGATAATGAAGGTAAATTAAGCTAAATTCAGCTTTTATTACCAATTTAATTCTAACTTTAAGCCCTGAAAATATTTTGTTAGAATACAAATATTCACTGACTTGCTATTTTATTTGTTTTTTATAATAGACACTAGAGCCATCAAATCAAACTGTTTTAAAAATATTAGATATATTCATGGGGAATAAAGCTATTAGTGGCTCCTAGCCTTATTTTCCAAGAAGGGCAGGACTATCCATGCTGCTAGTGCCTCTGAATAATACCAGTCCATGTGTTAAAATGGGAAGAAAAGGCTTTGGGTTCATATTCTGTTTATGGCTTTTTCATAGGCATCTGGTTGGTCACTGTATAAAAAGAATGCCAGGCTCTTATATTCAATTTGCTATACATATATGGGAGTCCACTTGGAAAAATTGCCCACTGTTTGCATTGGGTTGGAAACAGCACTTGCATGCACAGAAGTTTTCAATATGCAGGCTGCATTTAGAATCCAGGATTTTGGTCAGAGAAACGAGGTGTAACTGAATTAGTTGTCTTATCTCATATTTTTTGTCTCAGATGACTGAACAGAAGAAATAAGTGGGATGTATTTAACAACTCATACAGTAAGTCTTTAGTGAAAAATAAGTCACTAGCAATATAGAAGTATTAGTAGAAAACATGGTACTCACAAAAGCCACATGCATATATATTAGCACTACAAAAGTAGAAAAACCAGACTAAATTATTTTTTTAAACTATGTATTAGAAACCTCACTATAGCAAAGAGCATGTTTGAGTTTCAGCATGTATTTTTTTCAGATATAATGAAATGGTACTATAAAGGAGCTTGGTGGCTTTTTATTATGTCTTCATGTGAAACTAGACCAAAAATCATTTAGTTACAGCTAATAACCATAACGTTAGTTTTAGCATTATTCTAAGAAAACTAGCAGGAATATTATTCTTAGCATATAAAAGATTATGGGAACAAATGCATAGCAGATGGATGATCATACATTTTAGACATACAAAAGGTGTGCAATCTATTTTGTGTAATGGAAGTTCATTCAACAGTTAAGCTAAAACAAAAGTGTCTCAATTTGTATTCTGTCCACAAACAACTAGCACACAATAGTCAAGTTATTTCAGGCATGTGGAACTGCTTTCAAACAGTATCTTTCCCTTCTAGTGATTATTAGTGGGAAATGCTTACATTCCACAGACACTTGTAAATTATATACTAATTGATTACTTGATTACTTAAGACCATAAATACCTGTGTAAATATTTCTATAAATTAGATTTAGTAATTCCAGTTATTTTTGCTGTTATGAATATAGTAATCAAGATATAACTATTCTACTTACCATGTTCTTCTAGCACTTCAGCAGATTGTTCTTGCACAGTTGCCAAATAACCTTTGATGGATGCAGACCTAGAATATATTATTAAGTTTTTGAAATAGTGGTATATAACTTAAAGTACATGAACTCAATGTCATCCTCTTTAGACACTCACTTGGGAAATACTGTTCCCACACCCAGGATGATTTTTTTTAAAATGTGAATTACAACAGTTATATTTTAACTTTTTTTAAAAAAAGAATCTTTCTAACAATAGTATGTAAAAGAAATATTTCATTTTACAAAAATAAAATAGCTGGCCTATAATAAAATCCAGATCCAATAAGCTACAAGTACATTTTTAATTATCTCAAAAGCTAAATAATCCTTGTACACAAGTGCACTTTTTTGTTTATAGAGGCATGGCTCTACTGAAATTAACTGCAAAACTAATTATCATCTAGTCTTGGTTTGAAATTGTGATCTGCCACAGGAGTAACAATAAGAACTTCATTTTTGATGTGACGGGAATTGTTTCTTTTCATATAAAGATGAATCAAGTGCAAAAGTTCAGGCAATACTGACAAGCAAGCTGCTTATAAATAATTAGATGGACTTCTCAGTTATTCTGATTTTTCATTACGGCCAGAGAGTGCACAGCTTTTCTACCATTAAAAAAAAAAAAGGCAGAAAAATATTTGTGAAGTCAAGCAAAAATTGGCCTTATGCTGTATTGTTTTTATAGGCCTGATAACTGTAGTCCAATGACTAATATGCCATGGATGCCACTAGGATCAAGCTCAAGACAATACTATCATCTCTTTCACTTCAATAAATAGCCATCGTGCCAACCTGTGATCTTGTATTTTTTGTTCTTTATCTAAGCTCTGCAATCTGCTCAATTCTCATATGGAGTATTTATCTCTATCAGCAAGGAAGAAGGCTTTTGATTAACTCTGTGCTGGTGTATTTTTTCTCTCCTGAACTACAGCATTTTTTAGCTTTTTATGGTTTTAAGAGGATTTGTTACTAAATTGGTAATAGTACATTTTAAAAAATTATTACAAATTAGTGTTTTAATTAAATATTCCGTGATTAATATTGTTCAAAACAACAAACATGTTGGATAAAATCTTGTAGCAGTGCAATTTAGATTCTTAAAATGAATTATAATTTTATTTATAATTATAATTCATTTTAAGATACTAAATCGCACTGCTACATAATGATTAGTACTTGCTTCATTCATTTCCTGGATTTTTAAGCTTTCTGAACACAGACAAAAATGAGTAAAAGTGTTGTACTATTAGCTGACTTGGGTTTCTGGACTGAAATGGCAGCAGGGGTAGGGGTGGCGAGAGGTAACAAAGTAAAATGAACAAAACTTGGAAAAAAAGTATTTTTCTTAGCGAGTTGTTTAATTTACAACTAACATTTGTAAGCAGCTAAGAAGCAAGTTAGTATCTGGCATGACTTAGGAAATACTTGAATCACCAATGAGGAACTGATAATTTATGCAAACTGTATGTACTGTAATTGGGTTATATTTCTTTTGAATGAATTGGTTCACAGCTTGGGTGCATTAACCCTGAATCTGTACGCCCAAATGTTGGTGGTGGCCCAGAATCTACTTCCACAGCTAAGGCTAATGCCTAAATATACATTTCGTTGTTCCTAAATATATGTTCCTTTGTTCTTTTAGAAATTATATAAATCTATAACCACCCATGCTTCACTTATAATATTTGAAAGCAAGCATACTGACATTTTAAAAGGTTTGAAAACTTTTAGTTAACCCAGAATATTATAATCAGACTTAGTGACTGGTTTCAATTTTCTTCCTACAACAAATTCATTAACTTCTGGTCACTTCTAAGCACAGCTATAATTTCTTTATTTATCAAATTTATATGGCCACCCATCTCACAAAAAGTGATTCTGGGCAGCGCACAACTCTTAACTAAAAAACAATTACATATAAAAAACATTCATTACTAAAAATTATAAAAAGCACAAGAAAGAAGAGGGTAAATGTGAATCACAGTAAGGGAGCAATCTCAAGATCTCACTGGTTCCCTGGGACACCCAGGGCTGATGACATAGCCATGTCTTGAGGGACTTCCAGAATGTTAACAGGGATGAAGCTAACCTCATTTCTGGAGGGAGAAGATTCCATAAGGCGGGCACCACAGCAGAGAAGGCCCACCTTCTGGGACCCCCCAAGTGTAGTTCCATAACAGACTGGACCTGCAGCATGCCTTCTCTGCCAGATCTGATGGGAAGGACAGATATAATCGGGGAGAGGCGGTCCCGCAGATAACCCGGCCCCATGCCATGAAGGGCCTTAAAGTTTAAAACCAGCATCTTGAATTGGACCCGGAAGCAAGGTGGCAACCAATCCAGCTCATTGAACGGATATATAACATGTGCTCTTCTAGAAGCACATATAACTGTCTACACTGCTGCATTCTGCACCAGCTGAAGCTTCCGGATAATCTTCAAGGGCAGCCCCATGTCAGGATGTGATCAGGACATGAGTGACAGTGAGCAGAGCCTCCCGATCCAAGAATGGGCATAACTGAAGCACAACACAAAGCTGTACAAAGGCCCTCCTTAGCCACGACTGCCACCTGCTCTTTGGACAGGAATTGTGAGCCCAGAAGGACCCTCAGACTGCACACCAGGTCTGTCTGGGGCAGTGCAATCCCATCCAGCACCAAAGATGAACTGGAAGGCCCAAAAACGCAAAGCCACTCAGTCTTGCCAGGGTTCAGATGAAGCCTGTTGTTCCCCATCCAGACCCTCACAGCCTCCAGGCGTTCACAGCATCGCTTAATTCGCCAGGGGCAGAGATATATAACTGGGTATCATCAGCGTACTGATGATACCTCACCCCCTTGCGATGAATGAGCTCACCCAGTGGCCTCATGAACATGTTAAATAGGAGAGAAGAGAGCGTCAAACCCTGCGGCAACCCACACAGTAGGGGCCAAGGGTGGGACCTCTCCTCTCCAACTACTACTGACTGGAATTGGCCCCAGAGAAAGGGGGCGAACCAGCACAGCACCATGCCGCCCACCCCAAATCCTCTGAGCCAATCTAGAAGGATACCACAGTTGATGGTAATGAAAGCTGCAGAGAGGCTGAGTAGGGCAAGGATGGATGCACAACCCCCATCCCACCCTTGCCAGAGATCATCCAAAAGCACGACCAATGCTGTTTCTGTCCCATACCTGAGTCTGAATCCCGACTAAAAGGGATCCAGATAATCCGCTTCTTCCAAGGTCCTCTGAAGCTGCTGAGCAACCACCTTCTTAATCACCTTCCCCAAAAAGGGGAGGTTAGATACTGTCCAGTATAGTGGGGTTCAGTGATGGCTTCTTGAGGAGGGGGTGAACCAAGGCCTCCTTAGGAGGTGAAGGAACAACCCCCTCAGTCAAGGAAGAATTAATCACCTCTAGAACCCACTCACATGACACCCCCCCACCCCAGGCTGCTTTAACCAGTCAGGAGGGGCATGGATCTAAAGAGCAGATGGCTGAGTTCACAGTCCTAAGAACCCTGTCCACTTCCTCAGGCCCAACAGGTTCAAACTGTTCCCAGATAACAGGGCAAGACTTCTCCACCAGACCTAGGCATCTCCACCAGACCTGCAACAAGGCCGGCATCCAACTGAGAACAAATCCAAATGACTTTGTCCAACAGACGCTGAGCAAATTCCTCCACATGCCCATGAGAGAGGTTCTCTGTTCCCCCTACCCAGGAGCACTCATGTCACCCAAAACAGGGCTGTGGGACGCCTATCTGCGGACGCAATAAGACGGAGAAGTCTTATACTTCGCCACCCTTACCACTCCTAGGTAGTCCTTAATAGCAGCTCTAATCTGTGTTCAGTCAAGTTTGTCCCTTGTTGAGCGCCAGCAACTTGAATTATGACCAGTAAAACCAATAATAGTGATGGGCAACCTATGCCACTCTCACCAATCCCAGCCAGCATGGCCAATGGTGAGTGTTGCTGATAGCTTTAATTTAGAGCCCCACAGGTTGCCCATCCTTGCCTTATAAAGTTTTAAAAAGATTACATACTTTCATGTGAACTTACTTAGGCTTCAGATCCTTTGGACTGATTCTTCTTACTTTTTCACTACTACCGGAGGCATAATTAGCAGTAACACGAGAGGAGAATTTCTCCTTAAGATTGGGCACTCCCTGTTAAGGAACAACAGCCTATTCCAGCATGCTTTATTCAAACTTGTCTTTGGTATCCAAACGCAATCCAAGTTTTAATCTGGCATATGCTTTTTCTCTCTCTCAGTGATGTGATTTTATTAGATGGGCTTATTAGAGTTTGAATAAACATACTGGAAACTCTCTTATTTTATTGTTGGCTGCACTAACATTACGTTTAATGGAAAGGCAGGATTTAATTTGAAAATGCACACATTTTGAGAGGCAATGAGATAGAGTTTGGAAGCTTGGCCTTTTAAAAATAATATTCCTTGGGTGCTAATCCTGTGGTCTGGTAACCTATATTTTAAAAATATGGCTATTATGCTTCTCAAAGTGTTTCCTTATATTTTTAAAATCTTGAATGGAGAACTACAGTTTGAAAACTGTTACCTGCTTCTGGCTGCTTTTAAATTCACTCAATTCAAGGGATAATAATACACATCTCCTTTTATGTAAAATAAAGCTAGATCTCCTAATTTTTAATTGTTAGAATTAGCTGAAATTATCTGCTCAAAATTCAACAAGCAACGGATGTAATTTTCCACAGCATTTAAGGCTTTAGAATTCACTCACTGTATTAAGGAAAATATAACAAAAGGACTTCTATCATGTTAGACTAGAGGCTGTTTTTTTTTTTTTTTTACTGTTTTCAGAGGCTAAAGGCAGCAAGGCAGCTGTCAGCAATAACTATGGCCCTTTTAAAGTATTTTGAGAAATATATTTTTTTACATTTAAAAAAGTGCTGTTCTTATTTGTAAATTTGATACTGAATTTTGCTGGCATGAACCTGAAGGGTCTAGGAGTGTATGTAGATCACAAGCCATGGACTGCCTGCACATTTTAATTTTTTTTTCTGACAGTA